TGTATAGCTGTGCTGTATACTCTAGTTGGTGGTCTGTATTCGGTTGCTTATACTGATGTTATTCAGCTCCTTTGCATATTTATCGGACTGGTAAGATTYATGTCAKCGTTATACATTTMATTTGATTTTAATTTAATTTTAATTAATTTGGCACTTAATGCGACAGGATATAGTTACAGGGCTGATGCCCCAATTGCTTAACAATACCCCATTACAAACATATGGTAATCAAAAAATATAATTTAAATATATGTTAATAAGAAATTCTAAAATATACATATTATGGCGTATGAACATAATGAGTTTTTTGAAAAAGATAGTTTTTACAAACGCTTTAAATTGCGAGATACTTTTGAAATCTTTGACGTTTAGTTGAAATCTTGATGATTAGCTTGGCTGTTCCAGATATCGAATGTCCGAGGGGAAAAAAAAAAAGATTTTGATGGTGCTGCATGCTGGTTATCATACGGTAATTATAATATGGAGATTTGTTTCCATTGGTTAATACACATGCTTTGCCGTTTCTTTCTTTGTTTAGTGGCTGAGTATCCCATTTGCAATGACAAATAAGGCAGTGACCAAAATATCTACAACAGCCCCAATATGGATGGGTGAATGGCCAGTGAACTACGGATACTGGATTGACCATGCAATGCTTCTGGTAAGTCAAGGTCACAATTATAGAATTCCGTGAAGAAAATTATACGTTTTTCTTTAAGCATTTTTTTCTTTCGGAAACTAAATAAGAAACATGCTCAAAACCAATTTTCACTTTTCTCTCTTTTTTGAGTAGAGAAACTGCGATTTTTATCTGACTCGCCCCAGCCTCCACTTGGAAAGGTGTCAGTTTCCGACTATTTTGAGATGTTTTTTCAAAATAACAGATAAATCAAAAACGAGAATGGCGACTCCATTCTTTATTTCAGATTTTCGATAAATGCGATGCTCGTCATTATTTATCAAAATATAAAGGAAAGTTTATTGGATAGATTTTGAAATATTTTGATGGGAATAGTTGACATGTGCAATTTTTGGACGTTCGTAGAGGCGCACATACATGCATTTTTCACTAATAGTTCAAGAATCATAGTCATCCAATGACTTTGATGGGTTTAATAGTATAGACTATCTAGTAAACTTCGAGTTATAAGTACGTTTTGTTATATGAAAGTACTTTTCATGTGAATAAAGATTCTTGATTACAGCTTCCGGTTGCTACCGCATTTCACTATAAAACCCATAAATTGACGTATTTGGAGAGCATCTAGCGAAAAAAATCGAGAATGGTGACCCCATCTTTTTATTGCAGTTTTGTCCATAACATAATAAATGTCCATTGCAAAGTTTCAGGACAAAGTTATTGCCAAAATTTCTTTCAAGAGAATTACCTTAAACTGAGACAACTTCTTTGAATTTCTAGTTACAAAAAAACCAAACTTGTTTACTTCTCTTTTGTAGGTATTTGGAGGCATTCCTTGGCAGGTGTATTTTCAACGAGTCCTTGCTTGTAAAACTCCAGCCAAGGCACAATTCCTGTCGTTCGCTGGYGCATTTGGTTGTGTGATCATGACAATCCCAGCTGTTTTAATCGGAGCTATTGGCGCATCAACTGGTAAGATACAGTCAATTCAAAAAACGTTGTCGTCGACGGCTCAAGCCTACGAATGGTAATACACAGTTGTGACAAACGTCCCACGTTTGAATAAAAAAAACTGTGTATTACCATTCTTCGGGAGTAAATCGGAAAGC